ATTCCCAAGTCTCTCTTTGTAGTGGGTCGACCACGGGTTCCTCCCTTCCAAGCTCTCTCTTTGTAGTGGGTCGACCACGGGTTCCTTCATTCCCAGGTCTCTCTTTGTAGTGGGTCGACCACGGGTTCCTCCATTCCCACGTCTCTATTTGTAGTGAGTCGACCCCTTCAGCAAGACCTTACTTCTCCGAGATTCTGTCGTATATTTATAAACGGAGTTTTGTTGTTAATCGTCCACTTTAGACTTTACAGTTAAAAAAAAAAACTTGTTTTATTTTGTCCATTCGGTTATTTTTACATCCAATAATTAGTGCTGAAAAATCTATAAATTTCGTTTACATCATACATTCTGTTATTTTGTAATTATTCTCTGTAACTTTTATTAATTTATTCCGTTTTCCAACTCGTTCAAATCAAAGGTGAATTTCTGGAACACTTCATGTTGGAAACCAGCACCGCTTCTAAAATGATTCGCCAGTACCGGCTGAAAGTCGCCCTTGGGTCATACGAATATAAAAATCCCCACCCTATAATAAACCAATAACCCGAGTAAATTAAAAATATATTGTTTCCTTCTTTAGGGGTGAATATAACGTTATGTCAAGTACCAGTCACACTGGGATTATTACAGTATTTGTCTTTGGTGGATTCACCACTCTAACGCATGCGCTTTAGACCTATTATTGGAGTATTTTGCCTCTAATTTTACAGTAACATGGAACTAATTAATATTTCATGTATACTTGTAAATGTAAGTGGCATTTATTTGTTTTCTTCATAAAGCTCCGAAAAGAAATTTTAAACAGCCACACCACAGAAGAGTTTTCTAGCAGTGAAAATAAGTATATTATAGAAAGGCTATAAATATTACCAACAAGAAGGAAACGAAAACACACGTAAGAATTGCTGCTGTGTATCTATTTATTTTCATCCCGTGAATAATTAGCATATTCATAGAAAGATATTTTTACACAATGCCTCGATTGTTGTTGTTATTTTAGCGCAAAGTTACAAAATGGGTTGTCTACGCTCTGTCTATCGCGGGAATCGAACCCAGGATGTTAGCGTTGTAAGTACGTAAGATTACCGCTAACCCAACCGGGGGACTAATGATTCGAATGTGTAGCCTTATCAAAAGTTAAATGATTTGTCAGAGCCCCATATAGCCTCCAAACAGATCGTTAGCATGCTGAGAAACTTATTATGCATAATTGAACACAAAAGAGCTTTATAACCCTAACACCATCAATTGTATCACGTGTTTCAAGCACCAGTAGAAATGCCGATATCTGACGTATGTGGAACTTTTTTTTTTCTTTTTTTTTTTCAAAGCCACTGATGACAGCTGGACCTTATGTTACTTTGAAGTAACGGCTTACATTCTCGTTCGATTCTTGTTGTTTTTTGCTTTTTTTTTCCTGTTATGACATACTACGATTAAAGAAAAAACACTGAAGGAATATGACACGTGGGCGCGTGAATTTTTAACTAATGTGTTTTATATTCCTCACAGATTTCTCTGCCTTTAACATTTTACTAGATAATAATATCCTGTGTTTAACAAAACGAATAAAACAGCTGTTTCAAAGGCTTAGGACAGCAGATGGTTGGATACAAGATAAACATTTTAAGTAGTTGTGTTTTATTATATTTTATCTATAAACGTAGCAAGCTTATAGGAACATCACACATAATGATTTATATATGTCTTTTTTTACTGAATATATTTGTATATATACATTGACAAGATTGAAACACCTTTGCAATGTCGAAAAACAAAATGATATAACATCATCGTTCAATGAATCTATAAAACAATACATGCACTTTTAATCGGACATTTGTATAAATAGTTACGTCTATGAAACATAACGTTATTTCAATTTGTATACTGTCTTGTGATGTTACTTAAAGAAATTTTGGTTTGATATAATTTTTTGTTTTAATGACGGTTAGCATATATCAAAGCCTACACACATCAAAGCGTTCAGGACAAGGAACACTCTCTCCCCTCGCAATTTCTAAGCTTTAAAAATACACTTCAAATGAAATTTGGTATTTCACAAATATAAATATATATATAAGTGTGTGATACGTAAGATGGCTTCTTTATACTATGAAGGAATTAGGGGTATAAAGTAAGTTGAAGATGACGTCAGACGTGTTTACCCTGTCAGAACGAAGATCTATCGGTTTCCCGAAAGGGAGACCATCAGACAGTATCATCATTCGAAGAATATTTACATATTGTCGTTTCACCCAATATTGGGTTTTTCTTCAGCATAGTTAAGACTACTTCAGCAGAAAAAAAAAAGATAAAAAGAGCTAAATTTCATGTTTCTTGCTTAGAATAGGGATTTTATTCGGACAGGTAGTAATATATAATCATATATTCCGTATCTGCATAAAAGTGAAATAACTAGACAGTTCGCGATACCTAATACGTTTTTATACAGCAAAATATTCAACAATAAATTCTTAGAAATAGAGTGAATACAAGAAACCAAAACTAAAACCTAGTGTTTGTTATCGCGTGTCTTCAGCGTGACGTTAAATATAACCTCAAACACGGATCAAATGTTACTCTATCACCTAATACAAAAAAATAAAAATAAAAATTGGCCCGGCATGGCCAGGTGGTTAGGACACTCGACTCGCAAGCTGTGGGTCGCGGGTTCGAATCTCGTCCCACCAAACATGCTCGCCCTTTCAGCCTTGGGGACGTTATAATGTGACGGTCAATCCCACTATTCGTTGGTAAAAGAGTAGCCCCAGAGTTGGCTGTGGGTGGGGATGACTAGCTGCCTTCCCTCTAGTCTTACACTGCAAAATTAGGAATGGCTATCGCAGATAGCCCTCGTGTAGCTTTGCGCAAAATTAAAAAACAAACAAACAATACAAAAAATAGCAGCCAAGTGGAACTGTTTATTATTTCACACTGCTAACGTGGCAGTGGCGCTTACACAAAACTCTTAGATGAATGAGATTTAGCTGTTTACAAACTATGACGCTAGCGTTTCGTTCATGGTGTAAGATAAAGCATGCTGAAGAAAAGAAATAGAAGAAAAGAGCCTAAGTCAAAGTTTATGTTTTCTATAAGCCCTCAATCTATGTCACATGGCTAAGCTCCGCTTATGAAGACAATTCTCTGGTTAAAAAGAAACAAAACCCTGTATTATTCTGGTCGAAAGGCTTCGAAAAGCTAAGGTAAGCAGTATGGGAAACAATACTTATTGCTAATGGACCACGCGAAGAACTATTGTCATGGAAACAGACAAATTCCAGATTAAATCTTCCCTGCTATCTCTTGATATCCGGAAGTATCTAGAATTATCAAGTGATACTCAACTTGTTGATCAGTATCCCAAATCGTTAATATGCATATTGAGGGAATGTGCACAATAGACTTTGTTACCATTTGGGTTACAGCTAAAGAAATCCCAAGCATTTTATATAGCTAACAGGAATAGCGTACATCAAACAACACAAATGTCAGGTTTTATGTATGAGGTTTTACAGTAGGTGTACGTTACTTGTTTGCGATAAATTTCGACAATAAACAAACAGCACACAATCTAATTGTTTTAAAATAAAATATTAAAACAAGTCAAATCAAACGTATATACACATTTTCGTTACACTATTGGTTATTATAGTTGTATCCAGAACTTTACATATTTGTCTCTTTTTCGTCAAAGTCCACACAGGCTGGTTCAATTACCTTAACACAACTGACAAAAAGAAGAACTCGGAAGATTCTAGTAACATGACGCAATAATATAACAATCACCAATTCATAACTACTAAACACACAACGTATGATTCGTACACAAACTCGCGATAAGCTATCGCTTCTAAAAACAACTAAATTTAACACTCGAGCTATATAAGCTATCTAAACCATAATACTTGTATTAAACTTAAATTGAAACAATCGTGTATATCTAACAATAGAAGTTAGTTAAATTCAAGAACTAAAAGAAAGATTGTATAACGATATCTCCTACTTTGTATCATTCTTTAAAAAATAAGCCAAATAGGCTATAAACAAAATATGTCACATAGAGGAGAGTAAAAAAAACCGAAGATATAATCTACAATGTTGGAAAGATAAATGTAACCTAGTAAGAGTTAGATGTAACCTGGTAACAGTTAAATGTAACCTAGTAAGAGTTAAATGTAACCTGGTAACAGTTAAATGTAACCTAGTAAGAGTTAAATATAACATGGTAACAGTTAAATGTATCCTAGTAAGAGTTAGATGTAACCTGGTAACAGTTAATTGTAACCAAGTAAGAGTTGGATTGTTTTAGTGCGAAGCTGTACAATGGGCTAGCGCATTCTGTCCACCACTGGGGAATCCAAACCCGGATATTAGCTTTATAAACTTACCGCTGACCCATTGGAAATCTCCTAGTAAAAGAGTTATCCGCAGAGATAAGACTAGGGAAGATAATGGGTTCAAGCATACTATGTCCCGCATAAGCTACCATTGCAGCCAGTTTTAGGCAGTTGGTTGCTCATAACCAAACAGAAAAGCAAGAAAAGAAAATTGAAAATTAACTTAATAAAACAGATTATCAAAAACAGAACATTGGGTTTACATTATTTTGGTTTAATTTTATATTTAACTATTATAAAACTCAAGTGTAATTAATATTTTCCAGATTATTCAGATAACAAGCAAATTAGCTTAAAACAACTAGTAAATAGCACTACCAAAGATTATAAAAAAAATTTCTTCAAAGCTCAGGTTTCTCTTAGCTCTTTAAAAACTCTTACAAAACAGCCAGCAAACATATTAAAAAATGAACTTGTTAGTATATAAAATTAGAATTACTTTTACATTGTCTAGAAACTTTAAATACAAAAAATGTTACTTCAGTCCGGACATTTGATTTTACATATAATATACAAAAATTCATTTAAACCTATTGTTTGATTGATTTCTTAGTATACAACTTTAATTTCCTAATTTTAAAATCCTTACTATCAAAGATATTTATAATAAACTTTATAAACAGGTTGTTGGTACCTCCATAAGAGGTTTCTTAACGTTCTTCTTTAAGTTTTGATACTCAAACACATTTCTTGACATAAGGTTAAGTAATGGTTCTAACGCTATGAATGTTTTTGATAAACACTGGGAATTTAATTTTTTCACCTTTTACGAAAAAACTTTATAATTATTCATTTACTTCAATATTACTTTAATTGTCATAAACAGGAATATTTTATTTCTAGTGTATAGAATCCACCCCCCACGCGGGGACAAAGTACAGGTAGCCCAATATGTAGCTTTGTACTTAAATATTTAGACGCACTTTGGCGGAAATAGGACAAACCATGGAGCGATTCGTTATAGGGCTTTAGCAATGAAATTTAATTGTTTAAATATTTAACAGTAAATATCATAACTTGTTATTAAGGCTCAAAAGCGATAATATTAGATGAGGAGATTTATAAAACTATCAAAATTATGTTTTATAATTCTAATTTTATTTCACATGCAGGTCTTGGAATATGATAACTGGTGTATTCACACCGGTTTGTGTGTCTTTCCACCACAGATTTTCCCAAATGCCAAGATACATTTTACCACTTTGATGTTATAGTATTTATAGCTTTAGTTGTTTGTTCTTTGAGTGCAACTTTCTGTTTTCGGTCTAGTTCTTTGCATATTAAGGAAGATGAGAAAACAGTAAAGAATATCAACATCATTACTTTGAATTATAATATGTAATCAGCTTTCAAAATAATATTTTACAGATGTTGTACTCACAGTTAATATCGATAATGACATGTGCAATCCGTGGTGAGGTAATATTATTGTTGGAAGCTTGGCAAGTGAGTCTAGTCATTAGATCTTCTCGTCTCAGTTGCTGAAAAACATAGTCGTTTCGAACCTGTAGGTCATGAGTCTTTCGGAAACTATTGTCTATTAGTACTGAATTTCTCCACCATGTGACGGACGGAGGAGGCTTTCCTAGATAGAAACGATATATTTCCTTTCTTGTTACAAAAATGTGTTTAATTATTATGAAAATACAAACTCATGGTGAGATCCAAAACAACTATTTGGTTAAAATACTATACAACTAGAGACACGAAACGTTCAAGTGATATTACTTTCACTAGTTATACCTGAAGAAGTTCGTAGCGCTCTCTCTCGACATTTCTAAGAAACAACGTAATTGAAGCATGTATAGCAGCTTTCTAATCATACGGATATAAAAAACCTCTTCCCGACCAATTAGAAATCTCGTATCCACCAATCCCGCTTGGTGGTAGTACTTCCGTTACCATTTTCCAATTCAGTGCCACTAGATAAAGAAGAGGGCTATAATGACCAAAAAAACATAAACAAAAGAATTCGAAGAACATATTATTGTGGCCCCAGAGTTCAGTGCTTTTTTAGAGGGGTGGGAACCTTCAGAAAAAACAACAAAGAAGATGTGGCTGTAGCCATCAGATGGGTGGGTCTCTACTGCCCTCCTCACCACCCATAGATTACGTGACGAAGATGTTTCAGGGTAATGATTTTTGATTATTAAATTTCTCTAATCGGAAAGATAACTGCGTTTATCTTATATAGAAATTCATCGTTATTTTATTGATTCAGTTGATGATCATGTAATTATTGAGCTTTAAATCATTCAGTTGATAAATATTTCTCATGTTTCATTGAAAAATATAATCCTTAGTTAAGGTGTATTGATTTACTATTTAGCTAAGTAAATATCAATTCAACAAAACTAGCTGCGGTGAACCAGGGAAAAGACAACAAAATTTTTACCAATAAGTCTTCCTTTTATTGACTGTAGAAAAATAAAATAGTGCTCATGTACTTGCTTTATAAGTTGTATATATGTACGACATTTATCCATCATATATATATATATATAACCAAATGAATGTCAAAATATAATCAATAGTCATACAGTAATTAAACGTCTATAAAATAGGGCTCTAATACTATTAGCGGGAATGTTCCTTGGAACCAGGGATATTATGATACGTTCATGTAACACCCATCAGTCGGTGGAGTATTCAATGAAATAGTATGCGAAGTAGAATTTGGGCATGTTAAAAAATTCCTGATCTTTAGCGTGCAGATAACGTAAAGATATTCCTGAAATCCACATCTAGCTTCTACCCAACTTTACTTTAAATCACTGACTAACGTTCAACAAACGCATGCTGAGGCACAATGTTTGTAAACAAAACCCACATGTTCTGCTTTGCTTGGACTTGCTCGAGTTCCCTTGTTTCTAAGCTCTGTCTTGAGTTCTTTCGGCATAAATGAAAAATAATCCATTCCTGTTATAGCGTGTTAATGTAGAATAATCCATTGTTAACATAACACGTTAGTGTAGAATGATACATTGTTAACATAACACGTAAGTGTAGAATAATCCATTGTTGGCATAGCCCCGTTAGTGTAGAATAATCCATTGTTAACATAACGCATTTGCGTAGAATTATTCATTCTTGACATAGCATGTTAGTGTAGCATAATCCATCATTAACATAACTCATTAATGTAGAATAACCCATTCTTGACATAGCATGTTAGTGTAGAATAATGCACTCTTCACATAGCGCACGAGAAAAATAAATATCGTAGATTTCTTTCACAAATTACAAGTTCGATCACAGATGTGTTTAAATTAGTGACCGAAAGATGCTAATGATAGTGCTGGCGCTTAGCGAATGTCTTCCACGATCATTAATTACGCGTATTAAGAGATGAACAAATGTATAATAAGTAGGACAAAAAGAGTTATCGCAGACAGTAACCATGGTAATGTTATCATAGTAATTAATAATAATAACTTCTTTACAGCGAAACTAAAACTCAACTTGGCCATCAGTAAACTAGTTAAATAGATCGTTTTATCAGTTGAATACCCTCGCTATTAACGATATTTTCAGTTGTAATCCCATTAATATCTCACGAGGTTCTGGAGATTTAGATTAGTTCTAAATACAAATTCTAAGTTAACAATGAAAAACAATCTTTATGATAAAAGTATAATAGTAAACGTTATGAAAGTGTTATTCAAAACAGTAGGTACAGTAAATAGATATTTTTGCTGTACTTTCAATTTTTCATTGTTATAATGACTATTGTTAAAACGTAACAGAGTTTATTATTAACCTCGTCATACTAAACGATCAAGGAAAAACTACGCCATATTTTATAAAGGTGTTTTAAGACTTTATTATGAATAATTTACACCTATACTTATATTAAAGTATGATTATCTTTCTGTAAAATAATTCTTAAGATAAAGTGTTACCGTAATTTTTTGAATTTGTTAATTACAAAACCTTATTGTTTATTCTATTATATTATACAATCATATTGCAAGAGTCATGTTGTTTACAAATATATATATATAATATTTGTTGACAATTACAAAGCCATAGCCAATTTAAACTAGTTGCTTCGATAGCTTCAGGAATAACAAAACGTATTCAGAAAAATATCACTATATATATATATATATATTATGTTCTTGCAATTTCCGGAGAAAGTGTGAATGTTTAAAAAGCATTATATTTGTGTTATTTTTAAAGATTTACTTGTAGGACACAGGGCCGTAAAAAGCGGTTAGGCCTAACCACTTTTTTCGTGGCATGTATAGCTACAACTTATTAAAATTTAAAATTTCCTTCTTTTAATTTAATACATTACTTGTGTGTGTATGTAGTATTTGTAGTTAAAGTGGGTCAAGTTTTAGTTTCATAGGATTAAATTTTCTGGAAGGGCATACCCCCAGACACCCCCCTAGAAATGGCAATGTAGTAATGGCCTGATCGCTCCAAAATTGCTTCCGACGGCAATGTAACTCCATCCATTGGATAGGCATTAACATACGTCAACTTCTAGAGTTTGTTTGGAAATGAAATAATTGCTTCCGACGGCAATGTAACTCCATCCATTGGATAGGCATTAACATACGTCAACTTCTAGAGTTTGTTTGGAAATGAAATAATTGCTTCCGACGGCAATGTAACTCCATCCATTGGATAGGCATTAACATACGTCAACTTCTAGAGTTTGTTTGGAAATGACATTTCGACCTTCTAGCGCAAATCTTCATGAAAAATCTTTCAGGCCAATATATTTTGGTAATTTTTCATTGTTTAACGCTGGACGGGTATAGGTTTATTTTAATCAGTCATGGTGTCCTCCCAGTTTTGAGGGTCAACGACTTCGGTTCTGCACTTCTCTCTATTCTTCCCTATCTGCACCAGCTTTCCTAATTCAACCAGTTCGTCTCCAGTCCATTTTATAATGACACCGAGCCAAGTGATCGAGTGATTTCCCTCACCTCTTTATCCTTCGATTTTGCCAGTCAACATCTGACAACCTACCCTCAGGCCTAATTGCATACATCTTCTGTCGATTAGATACATCCAGCAGTTGTCTTTGCACACTCCAATACTTATCTTTCTTTATAGCTGATCTTCATCACGTATCTATAACGACACATTTCAAATGCTTCTAACTGCCATTTCGTTTCATGTCCAAGTTTTGGACTTTGACCATTTAGTCTGTTTATTGTCAAGCTCAAAGAGGCTATTTGTTCCATCCCTACTACGGGTATCGAAACCATATTTTTAGCGTTATAAGCTCTCAGACTTACCACTCAACCACCGGAGCGGACTGACCATACGTAACATTTTAGCAGTGTTTTCTTCAGTTATGGGTTTACATCTATTTTGAGCGATTCTTTGAGTTTGAAGAATACCGTTTCTCTATTCCTATACTGCGCTTTATCTATTTTCCACACTTGCGGTTACTACTGATATTCATCCCTAACTAAGTAGACTTAACTAAAGAAAGGTACTGATGATATAAAATAAAATAAAAATACATTTTAAATTTTCTTATATATTCAAATATACCTTCATATCCACATGGTCTTTTCATTGGAAACCCCCACAGCAACTAACCTGTCACCTGAACTAACTGGTTCATTAAGATTTCTACCTTCACTACAGTTCTGAACCCCCTCATTAAACTTTTATGCTTTTAAGACGTTACATTTCAAAATTATGACAAGCTGGTGAAGAAAAATATTCTTCTTTGCCAATTTAATGAATACATTTAGAAAGGTGAAAAACGTATTAAGATAAGACTAGATTTGTTGTATTGTTTGTGAATAAAGCATTTCAGTTTAAGATAATGTATATAATTTGATATTCTCTATTTTCACTTTTCCGACACCGTTTGTGTTATTTATTAAATCATTATAGATTACCTCACTGAGGAAGGCAAAAAAAATCGGTTTTAAATGAAAACTTATTTCTCAAAATACAGTTGAATGCAGAGTTTCTGTTTTCTAATTCTAATGAAACTAATTAGTACAGAATGTTAGTGTGAAACTGTATTTCAACACTATACTCTGTTTTTGAGATAAAACCTGTAAAAGTGTAATTATATATTTTCACAACAAATACCTCACCTCCTTTGGCTATACAACCAAGAATGAGTTTAGATCCTTCGTTATGTGGACTAGTGTATCTTTGTACAGGTCGGTTGAACTCGTCGACAATAGTGACATCCTCTGGTGGAACTGGAAAAAAAACATCTTAAATGATCTAATTATATTGGACATGAACATATATGTTTGTTTATGTGTGGATTTAAACTGATTCATGAAACAATCTGACATTTATAGGGTAAAATACTATTAACAAAAACAATAACCTGTTATAGGAATGTGAGCAGATTGTTAGTCCGTGTTTTATGTTCTATTGTGCAATATTGTGTTCTGCACTTTGGATGCGTTATTAGAGTGACAGTTAAATCCCACTACTCGATCAGATAAGAATAGCCCAAGAGTTTGTGGTAAGACTAGCTGCTTTCCCTCTAGTCTACCACTTCAAAATGAGAGTAGGCGAGCGCAGACAGTTCCTGAATGTCTCTGAGTGAATATCCGAAGCAAACAGACAAACTTATAGAAAAATGAGTTCAGAGGGAATAATTGTGAATCAAAACTTGTTAAAATGTCATTATATCTTTTAACAAAATGTCAACAAAACTATGGTAAAATATTATTTGAATTAGGTAAGTTATCGTAAAAAAAGCAATTTATTTTCAAACGACTAAGTAACTACAAAAGTATTTCATTACTAATCTTTTGCAAAAAACACTTGTCGAGGCTTAATCCTCGTAACATAGCTTGGCTAAGTTATAGCAAAATAACGTTTATGATGGCAAAGGTACAGAGTTTTACGGAGATTATAATGTTTAATTGAGTCAGTAGAAAGTTGTCATGAGTTTTACATTCAAACTAATGAGTCAGTAGAAAGTTGCCACGAGTTTTACATTCAAACTAATGAGTCAATAGGAAGTTGCCACGAGTTTTACATTCAAACTAATGAGTCAGTAGGAAGTTGCCACGAGTTTTACATTCAAACCAATGAGTCAATAGGAAGTTGCCACGAGTTTTACATTCAAAGTTATGAGTCAGTAGGAAGTTGCTAAGAGTATTACATTCAAACTAATCAGTCAGTAGGAAGTTGCCACGAGTTTTACATTTAAACTAATGAATCAATAGGAAGTTGCCACGAGTTTTACATTCAAACTAATGAGTCAATAGGAAGTTGCCACGAGTTTTACATTCAAACTTATGAGTCAATAGGAAGTTGCCACGAGTTTTACATTCAAAGTTATGAGTCAGTAGGAAGTTGCCACGAGTTTTACGTTCAAACTGATGAGTCAGTAGGAAGTTGCCACGAGTTTTACATTCAAACTTATGAGTCAGTAGGAAGTTGCCACGAGTTTTACATTCAAACTT